GACTGGTCAAATGCCGCATTAGTTTTTTGTAGACGTAATCTCCAACACAGCCACAAATCCGGTTAATGCACCGCATGGATATCCCTTTGCCGTTCAATGCTCGAATATCCTTCAAGTGGGATCCATTCCTACCGCCACATGCTTAGTAACTTGAACTTGTTTGGGTCGAAATCAACCTAGTTTACCAACTAAAGGGTTTAAATTAAATTTCAGACTCAGATGTTCTCATTAACACCCTAAACCCACTGAATATATCACATTAACAATATTAATACATGTAACGCCGTGAAACGAAAGAAATCCACATTCTTAATAAATCTGAGGACACTATGTGAGATGCACAGTGAATTCTAATGATCTCTTATTCGAGGCGCTGAATTCGACTTCATACACCGACTGATCGTGATTGTGGTAGAGGAAATCCAAATAAGATTGGCTGAGACAACGCATTCCAATACTGACATCAAAGGCTCTACTGTGATAAGGGGATGGCGTGCAACCTGTACTACAGGTTGTCGTACAGTGTCGCGGGATTCTAACGTTACCAATAGGCCGCATGGCCTCCTCACAGGCCAGATCCCGATGTAGTCAACTTCCTAAAAGACCACAACCTTATTAGGACCTGGCCCAGACCACATCCCAATTGGGTCTTTGGATTGTTAACAGCATAATGAGCATGTTAATTGACCAAGTAAATTACAGGTGAATTAATCTACCACAGCAAATTAATTATCAAGTATAAACAGATCACCCGTGTTAGTAATACCTTAGGGCAGTGAGAAGATAGTGGCCATGGCAGTTTCCGATAATCTTCGACATGTGTACAGGCACTATATATTGTCAAGAAAATTACATCAGAAAGCAGGATTTACTGGCCGGATTATTTATAATAAGAGCAAGTGTGGAAATAATACTTTCACACAGAATATAGTAAATAAAATGATTATATAAATCATGTACACTAATTTCTTATCATGGTTCAATGATTGATGTGATTGGTATCAGCTAGTACTCAGTAAAGTGGCTATGCCGGAAGACAATATTTTCCATGAAATGAAGTAATAAATACTAAATGAGAAATCTGCAGAAATAGCCATTAGCGGGTTGCAAGCGCGGTAATAAAACAAATGTTTTTTAATAACGAAAGCGTTTCGGGGATTATTTAGGACAAGGAGAAAGTCACACGTCTATGACCCAATATATCTCGTAGGTGATTTTATGTCACTGAAAGTCAGATTTGTTTTTAGCTTATCCGTTATTACTCTTTTTGTTAACATATTATGATAGGTGGGAAGAGTCATTATGGGGTCCATTTTTTAGCAATAGAATTTCATCACAGATAAATTTTCAGAATTTTTTCTCTCTTTCGTTTTTTTCTTTTCTAATTCTAATTTTTTGTTTATATATACATTTCACTTGATACTGATTTACACTGGTAATAGAGGTAAACATTGGATGGAAGTCAATCAATCAAAACTACAAATAACACATAAGAAATATCCCTCAAGATCACAGTTACAGTAAATGGAATACGCTTTACTTAGTGCTGTATCAATTTTTAATTTTTGTTAGTGGCACAGTACACAATAAGCAGCGTTTCAGTGTTACAAAAAAGGACGCTTCCCATTAATCTCTCACTGAGAACGTCAGGGGATGCCAACCTAAACACTTATAACTGAAAACGAGCTTGCAGGCTCCAGCGGTTGGTGTAACAATAGATACTGTGAACACATTTCACGTAAAAGATATTGAAGAATTCAAAAAGCAGTCTGAAGATGTCATCGAAGAAAATTGTGACTGTCCTTTTGTCAGAATGTGCTCTACTTATGATATGGTTTGGCCTGTCGAATTCTTCATCTTTATGGTTTCGGGTTCAGCCTCAGACGAAATTTATTGAAGATTTAATTCTTCAGACGACATGTTCATTGTCTAAAGAGGAGTGCGCTCTCCAATGTCTGGGGCATAGAAGCTGCCTAGGTGCATATTACTGCGGTAACTCAAAGACTTGTGCTCTTACCAATTTCAACTGTGCCGGCGTTCAGGCGGGGTTCTTGTTGAGTGACCCAAACTGCTTCTACATAGAGGCACGGAATCGCAAAGTATCTTGTGTGGTAAGTTATATTTAATCAGTTAAAGGGATTTATGTCGAGACAAAATGTTGCATTTCATCTTAATTCAATCTACGCCGTGTGTAGATCATGAGATTATCCTCTGGTAACGAAATATCATTTTAACTGTTTTTCACGGATCTCTTTGAGATTTTAGCTGCAGTGTTTTTATCATCGCTGATGTCATTAGAAACAGTAAAGTCATGCAAATGTTTACTACACCAATATATGTTAAAACAGAAAACTTGAAAAGAATGAAAAAAGTCAAAGTAGAAAATAACTAAATTATGTGGAATTAAAAATACAAACAGCGATATCAATGGAATAATATCAATGGAATAATATCAATGGAATAATATGACAACGAATTTGCAACACAAGCTCTAGAAGTTAAAAGTACCCTTTCCTTGATTTTCACGCCAATGAAAAAGGCCAAAGTAGAAAATAACTAAATTATGTGGAATTAAAAATACAAACAGCGATATCAATGGAATGATATCAATGGAATAATTTGACAACGAATTTGCAATACAAGCTCTAGAAGTTAAAAGTACCTTTCTGGGATTTTCACGCCAATGTGAATTTTACTCGAGATTTAAAAAAATCCATCTCTGCACTTAAATCCATGTTTAATACCAATTTTTATGAAATGATTTAGCTAGTTAGTCATTTAAGCCAGTTAAGCTTGTAAGTCCAATATGCACATTTTGGAAAGCAGAAAAACGTAAATACAAAAACTGTTTTGCTTTGCTCTCAAAATAATCGTAAATAAATTATGTAAGGAAAGTGACTTTCTATGGTCAGTGGCATTATTTACATTTTTAGTCCAACCAGCAAAGGCACTTTAAACGTTGTGCGAATACTTTAGAAAATGTTTTAAAATGTTTAAGATAACGTCTTAATAATGTAAAAGATATGTTTATTTTTTTGAGATTTATTTTTGAAAGGCATCAGAAATATGCACTTTGAAAAGCACCTCGTCAAAATAACTGTGGTAACAAGCACTCAGTCTCAAAGAAGACATCTTTGAAAGGTACCTTACCACAAAAAGTTTAAGCTCAATATCATGCTCTGAGTTTATACACAGATGTTATTTACGACACCTATGCCAACTGAAATTACGAGAGAGTTCCTTAGAATGTTAACATTAAAGCAAAATCCACACAATCCACACGTTTATCTAAAACACTGTCAATTTGCTTGAAAGTAATTTTTGCAGAGTTTCAAAAAATCTGGTACAAGGTGAACGTTTGGCATACAGGAACGATCCTTTAAAATAAATGTAAGATTGCAGTGTATCAAATAGAGAAAAACACAAAAGTATCTTCATTAATAATGATAAAGCCCTACGCCTGCGTCGCAACAACACCGCACGTCGAATAGGCTAAACAAAGGTTTTCCCACTTGATTACACGCTTCTTGCATAAAATAATCATAAAGCTAGCTATTTTTATAATTAAAAAAATATTTCATAATGTTATAACTATGTTTCAGAAAAGGGTTTTTGACTAAATGTTTTCATAGTGCTATTAAAGCATTAAAGAATTGACATTTTGACCAAGATATTTCAGGATGCAATAGAATATTTTTATAATATTTAAAACACAAGACCTGAGAGGTGTAGCCTTATTGGTAAATTATTAGATGCTATAAATGTAATTTTTTTGTGAATTTGCCATTATGTCATTTTTATTCAAACAAATACTACCATTTCATCAAATTTCTAAAGGCCTGGGATTTAATCTTGCCTGTGATATATTTACTGTGTGTTTTGTGTATCCAAGGCGACTTAATGCTGATTTTGCACTGGTTAAATTATGCACCCCTTCCCTTTAGCTGACAACAGCAAACAAATTTTCTCAACGCAATTCGCTTGAAACAATTAAACTAGCGAAAGTTAAGATAATCAATCAAACTACCCCAAATCAAGAACTACACAAAATAGATGCTTTTAAATGACATTAAAAGAAATGCATTAATTTTTGTACGTGTGGTATCGATCGTTTTGTCATTGGCATTAGTACAGTTTTCTGTTCAGAAAGACCAACCCGGCGTTTCACATGAAAATGTCACCTGTGAACTTTTTGGACTAGGCCAGATCCCTGTTTGTTGACTGACAAAATCACACTTGACCCTGTATATATAAGATAACGCACAAACTATTAGCTGTAATAAAAATATTCCTTTTCTATCATGCACCATCAAATGGTAAAATACAAAACAGATGACTCGCACATAATAAATTGAGCGAAGTAGCTATTTATATTATAAAATAAAGGATAACCTGTAAGAATGTGAGTAAGACAGGAGGATATAATTATAATACTGTTTTGTGTTTTGAGTGTCAATATGTAATTAAATAAAAAAACTGGCAACGGTGTCTAAGATACAAACACTGACTTTAGTGACACAGTAAATGCAGTAAGGACCACAGCAATGCTTGTGTACTATATTATTTCAGGAATGTGGATGTAAAAATGGCGGGACTTGTGTCCAATTAACTGAGGGTTCCGGTAAATGTGCCTGCCCTGTCCCTTACGGCGGATTAAACTGTGAACGTAAGTATTATCTAGGAACATACTGTTCATATTCAAGATGAGCATTATATTTTCACTGGTGGTTTTTAAAGAATGAACGTTTAATATCCCATTAAGCGTTTCCAACAGTGAACCACGTTGCCATTATTGCCTTCGTATTTATGGTGTAAATCAGTTTACATATACATGTACTTGGATAATGAAAGACGTTA